ATGATTTGAAATGATTAATAGAGACATTACAGATTTATTATTGAAAGCTAAACTCATTCTTGACACTGCAGAGGTTGTCTAAATAAACCTTTGACTGTGATAATCACAAACTGCCTAAACTCTCACTTAAGTGTTTTCTGTTTGGTAAAATAACCTCCCAATTCTCTTAAAATATCTACTTCACTAGCAGGATTTTTTAGTATTAATCTTTTATGCTAAAACACTACAAAATCCTAATAATACATTTTATTCCAATTTAGGCTTGCCTCCCTTATTTGTAAAATTTCTCCATCTTTTTTCAAATCTTACAGCTGCATACCTGTGTTTCAGTTAAAGAAATTTCCTACTGAGACATTACCCAATTTGTAAAATTCCCCTTCCCATCTCTAATTCCACAGAAGCAAGAATGTACGTTATTCTAAATTAAGGAATAATTTATTCCTTTAATACAAAAGAATTTTTGATAAATATATTTTGATGTTGTAACATGGATGAGACAAAAGAAACATATGTACACATTCCAACATAACTGGGTCAAATTTAATTATAACTTTATAGCTAATTTTGAAAAATATATTAAGATACACTACTATCAAACAATTCCTTAAGAATTCACATAAATAAATGTAAGTTTAGAAAGACTCCTAGGTATCAGTAAATACAAGTGCAAGCACAGAAGAGTTGCCTTTATATATTCTAGAAGCTTTTGGGGGTTTCTGGGATGTTTACTGTCTGCCAAGTGCTACACTAGGTGTTGGATCTAGATTTATCTGATACCATCTGCCACCGTGTAATTACTTCACTTCCATTTTCCTGCTCCCCTCTTAGAAACAAAACATTTTTAGAATCTGCATCATTTTGCTACAATGGGGCAACTACAGTGACTCGATCTTTCCATAACATCTTTTATAGATAACTAACTGTTGTGTTTTCTAAGTGTCAGGAGATAACAATGAACTGTTACCCGAGGCTTACATGGGGCACAGATAAATCTAATTCAACAAGTAAAAACATTCATTTTGTTCCTTAGATTAGGTAGATGTTAGTGATGTGGAAATAGATACCTATAGAAAGTTACTATGTTCCTCCTTTATTGATCATAGAACTTTACATTTGTTTAATGATCTTTTGGCAAAGCGCTTGGGTTTACTGTTACTCATTTTTCTGTATTTTTTGATTAACATTAAAAATAACTGTAAAATGTATAATATGTAAAAAAAAAAAAAAAAGTGAAGAAAACAAAACTCCCTTGCAATTTCGGCACTCTGAAAAAATGATTATCAACATATTGTTATAGGTTCTTCCAGTCTGTTTTTCTACTTTCATTATCATGTGTCCTCCATTAACTTTTTGTTTTGACTCTCTACATTCCCTGTTTTTTCTCTGACATGTGTGGATTTATGTCACACCTTTAAGTAGCAATGTCTAGGCCTCTCACCTGAAATCTAGGCCCCTTTGGACAAATCCACTTAGCACCTCAAAAACATCTCCAAACACAAACTGACATTGAACTCTTTTTTCCTTCTTGAGTTTTCCAGTTTGTCAATTCTTGACTGTTCTTTTTGTCCCTCACACACTAGAATGGTCACCAAATACTGCTGATTCTATGAGCAAAATCTCTCTGTAGGATGCCCTTTCCCCTCTGCCCCAGTCTCCAACCAGCTCCACCTGATTTCAAGCTGACTTCTACCCAATGTCACACAGTTAATGCAGTTCCCGGAATAGCTCTCCACAGACTCCAGCTAAGTCCAAATCCTTAGTGTGGCTGAAAAGAACCTCCCATTTTAGTGTCTCTTCTCCTCAGACTAGAGCCACGAAATAGAAATGGGATTACTCTTGATTTGAGGCCTACTACTCCACCTAGTGGTACAGAACAACACCCTGGGATGGAACTCTAGGGAATATGCCAGGTCAGCCCTATCAGACCAAGCAAGCCTGCCCACGTGGGTGTTTGTCAGCTAGAGAGGGAAGTGAAAAGGACAAAGAACTCTGGAATTCAATGGCCATCTAGTGGTTTTACCTAAGCACTGAATTCTCCTAAGGGAAGGCCCCAAACCTCCAAACCAATGATCATTGCCATTCTTTTTTTTTTTTAATTTTATTTTATTATGTTATGTTAATCACCACACATCATTAGTTTTTGATGTAGTGTTCCATGATTCATTGTTTGCGTATAACACCCAGCGCTCCATGCAGAACGTGCCCTCTTTAATACCCATCACCAGGCTAACCCATCCCCCCACCCCCTCCCCTCTAGAACCCTCAGTTTGTTTCTCAGAGTCCATAGTCTCTCTTGGTTCTTCTCCCCTCCGATTCCCCTCCTTCATTTTTCCCTTCCTACTATCTTCGAAATAAGTCAATCAGAGAAAGACATGTATCATATGATCATCGCCATTCTTGAGAGCAGATGAAAAACTATGATGCCATCTAGACTGGTCTCGAGACCAGTCTAGAAATAATCACAGACTAATTCTGACCCAGCTACTGTACTGCCACCTGTATCCTTCCAGAATTTTCATGAAACTCAAGCAAACTGAAACAGTATTCATTCATCTTTGTATTAGTTCATACCCTCGGTGCACATTTAAGGAACACCTGCAACTCAGATACTACACCAAGCTAATAATACAGGGTCCATGTGAGGACAGCCTATAAACAGGAAAGCAGATAAAGAAATCCATAATGACAGTGCAGAAGGAGAGTCTAAGCTGGCCACGGACTGGGAGGGCTTCCTGTGAGAAATGATGGCCGAACCGATTCTGTGGTCAAGTGAGAGTTGGTTAGGTAAAGAGCAAAATGAAAGGTATTCTTTCAGATTCAAAGCATTACACATGCATCAGAGTGCAGCACGTTAAAAAGCTATCCTAACACATCGTCTACAGTTAGCACAGCATCCTGACTAAAGGAAACCTCAGCCGACAGGACTCTACCAGCCTCTTTCAGGGAAACCCTACAGAGCAAAATATCTCCACTTTATTTTTTTTTTTAAGATTTTATTTATTTATTTGAGAGAGAGACACAGCGAGAGAGAGAACACAAGCAGGGGGAGTGGGAGAGGGAGAAGCAGGCTTCCCGCCGAGCAGGGAGCCCGATGCGGGGCTCGATCCCAGGACCCTGGGATCATGACCAGAGCCGAAGGCAGATGCTTAACTACTGAGCCACCCAGGCGCCCCAAAATATCTCCACTTTAAAATACTTCTTAAGCAACAGCATTTACAATAAAGGTAAAAAAAGATAATATTTTAAGCTGCACAACTATTCAAAACCACACATTTTCAAATCTCCAAGGTGCACAAATCATATGTAAAAGAAGATGAGAAATGCGATTCTCCTTAAACCTGATCCTCTTTTTGGAAAGAAGGGATAATACTCAACACTTTAAATTTTAAAGCAAGTCTATTAATCACATAGAAGTTTCCTTCAATAGGTGACAGTTACAGCTTTTTATAAAATACTAAGCAGTTTGCGGTTAAAAGCATCCGTTAAGGGGCGCCTGGGTGGCTCAGTTGGTTAAGAGACTGCCTTCGGCTCAGGTCATGATCCTGGAGTCCCGGGATTGAGTCCCGCATCGGGCTCCCTGCTTGGCAGGGAAACTGCTTCTCCTTCTGACCCTCTTCCCTCTCTCGTGCTCTCTATCTCTCATTCTCTCTCTCTCAAATAAATAAATAAAATCTTTAAAAAAAAAAAAAAGCATCCGTTAAGCTGTGTAATACATGATATAACCACATTATCATCCATATATGATAAAATCACATGTGGACTCTCCACAGCAGATACCTCATCTACCTTCTGCTGGAGCAATGCCAGCAGAGGCAGCCCATTTTATCTTTGGTGAGCACTGCTAGAAAGCTCTATTAAACATGGAGACAAGATCTGTCTTCCAGTACCTTTGGCATTAACCGCGACCAAATGGGGGGCCCCAGGAAGAATCTGCTACAAGGGCACATTTCACATACTGCCCTGCAGTCTGTTCTCAGAGACGCCGTCTTGTCTCTTAGCCTAGCGATCTTAGTACCCTGTACCCTGTGTGCCACATCAAGGTTTGACTCCCACTTCCCTTTCTTTGCACTCTCTTCTGACACATGTGATAGGAGCAGGAGGTGCGAAATGGACGATCCCAGTAAAGCAGCGCTATCACCTCCCTCATGCTAGCTACGCCACTTCTGTTAATGCAGTTTCGGATGCAATGAATATTCTGAGAAACTACATAATATTGCAGCCTTCTTTTAAAATTCCCCTTAACTAAGGGCACCTGGCTGGCTCAATTGCTGGAGCATGTGACTCCTGATCTTGGGGTTGAGAGTCTGAGCCCCACACTGGATGTAGAGATTCCTTAAAAAAAAAAAAATCCCTTAACTAAAACTCCCAAGTTGTGTTTGTTTCTTTTTTTTTTGTAACTGATGGATGCTAGGCCATGTCGCCACAATTTTCTATTGCCCAGCTGATGCCAAACAGTTCAGGCATTTCCAGCAACATATTTATGGATATGTCTACATACATTAAGACAAATATTTCTCATACAGGGAAGGTGACCATCCACTGGATAGATATTTATTAGCACACACTAGGTGCTAGATCCTGGAAACACAAAGTTAAATGAGACACACCAAATTATGTCCCTTTACACAAGACTTTGTCTTTACACAAGACTATGTATATAAAACAAGGGTGGGTGGTACATCATAGCTCTCAATAAACTGCTACCGTTATTATAATGATGATGAGCAGTTATAAATTAATAGTCTTTTAAAAATTACTAGTTGTTTTTGTTTTGGGTTTTTTGTTTGTTTGTTTTAGAGAGGGGGAGAGAGAGAAGGGGGGCAGGGGGAGAGGGAGAGAGAATATTAAGCCGTCTCCACACTCAGCACAGAGCCCAACACAGACCTCGATGTCACAACCCTGAGATCATGACCTGAGCCAAACTCAAGAGTCGGACACTTGACTGACTGAGGCGCCCCGACTTTAAATGAAAATATTGCAGTATTCCCACCGATACTCACCAGTACTATAATATCTCTTTAGTTCTGTACGCCTGATCTCCTTTAACTGATTATTTTTTCTCTTTTTTTTCTCATCAGTAATATATTCCTCTTCTACAGCAATGTTGCATTTGTCTTGTTCTTTTTTTTTTGTTTTAGCATCCTCTTTTCCAGTGTGGGTCCTTGTAGCAATAGTTGAGGCTGTCTCTGCATTTTGTTTGGCTTGTTTTTTCTTTTTCAATCTAGGAATGGGGAAAAAAAGGGAAAACATTGGAGAAATGATTTTCTAGGAGGAATTATATTAGTTTCATGCTGTTGGGCTTTCAGAAACTACTTAATTGATACAGAAAACACTTTATTTATATTACTGTTAATCACATTTTCCTGTTTTTTCTTTCCTAATCACTTAAAAATTCTTACATGGAGACCTGTAGCAGTTCCTCAACTTTACATCCTCAATACTTACATCTCAGAAAATTATTAGGAAATCCTCCAGGCCTGGGAAAAACTAGATTCTTCTACAGGCTATTAAATGTTGAGCATTTTCTTAATCAAAATATACGGCTGCCATGTTTGCAGTGTTACATTAAAAAGAGAGAGTTTCAGTTTTCAATGGGCAAACACATTTGTAAAACTAAATCCTTTATAATTGATTCACACACTGAGGATAAAAGTTTGGTGAACTGGTTCAGGTCTGAGCAATTCTTTTCCTTTATACATATGACAGTAGTACTGAAGAAAGAGCTGCATCTCCTGAGACAGAAAATGCCATAATGACAATATATAAAGTTATCATTCTGATCACTAATATAATAGCTGATACATTAGTTAACATATCTGATGTTTTTAATTCCTTACTCCTAAGTCAAAGAGATGAAGTTTACTATACTTGGTGAAATCCAATAACTCAAAATACTTTCCAATTGATGTATCACTCTAATTGATGTGTCACTCCGTACTTACCAGCCCTTCTGAAGAATGCCTTTACCTTACCAGAAGGTAGAGAACAAGGGTCCTGGCCTCTAGTATACATGGCAGTCTGCTCCTTTGTAAATATTTTTTAATTAGGACTCTTTTTGCGTGTTCCCTTTCTGCTTACACATGGTCAGCTATCTCTTATACATATATGTCTAGTTCCTTTGCTCTCTGGAGCATCTATACAATTTGATGTTGGGCAAGGATAAGGAGATGTTTTGGGAGAAAAATGAGATACCTATAGGGTAGCAAAGGGGCTAAGGTTAGATTTTCTGCTTCTTTGCTTTGTGACATTGAACAAATCCATTTAACAATTTGGAGAGGTCCCTCGTTAAATAAGAGACCCTCATTTAACAGGGTCTTTTATTAGGATCAATTGAGATAATCTATGCCAACATATAACACAAACAAACAGAAACAGAAATAGTAAAATATCCCCTCATAAATCATATAATGACATGAGAACTAAGGATACATGACCCATTCGGCTTTGGAAATAAGGTGTCATATTCTAACAAAATATTTCAACTAGGCTGTAATTCATTGAACACTTAGCAGCCATGTTCTTAGATTTTCATTGGCTAATAAATGAGTATATGGCCTAGGAGAAAGGGCAGCTGGACAAAAATCATAGATGAATACCCTCCCCATCGCTTAGTTTCACTATCTTTTTATGTTTACTCATTAAAAACCAAACCAAACCACAAACCAAACAAAACTGGAGACTCATAAAAAGGACTTCTATTCAATAGATACTTTATTTTCTAACCTCAGATTTTAAACTGTTTACTTTTTGTTTTATTATTTCTGGTAAGAGTAGGTGGCTCTTTGCAATGTTGAGTCAGATAATGTTCCTAATAAAACAATTTCTCTCTTGATCAAGATTACTATGTGAGGCTGAAATTAGTATGCATAATGCCATAATGACCTAGATATCGTACAGAAACCAGCACTTCGCTTAGGGAGGTCTAGGCACAGAGCTGATTATCTGTGTCCAAAAAGCTGGCTATGGATGGGCTGATGTTGTTCTGATCAAAAACATGCTTGAGATGAACCTTATTGCCCGCTTCCAAAAATCATTCCTTCCAGGAGGAGAGAAAAGAGGAGTCAAAATTAATTCTGTGCGGCCTGAAATATGCTGCTTCTTGCTCTTCTGGATTTTCCCACTTTAAGTTGATTTAAATGTCCTCATTTCACGGTCCCCATGATAATTAAACTCACTCAGATCTAGGGCGCATGTTTTGATGAGCAGGACGGTCTGGGGACAGCTCATTACAGACTGGTTTTCACATGTGGAAATAATAAAACGGGGTACATCATTTTATTCACTTGCCTCTGTTCTGCACAGACCATTATTGTCAACACTTATAGCCAAAAGTAGCTGTTTTTCTCTAAAAAAAAAAAAAGCTAGAAAATAGCAATACCAAACTTGTTTAACAGAAAACAGTATCCAATTTAATACTTGACTAATTTTACAATCAGCTACATCTTTTGTTTTGTCTAGAGTACTCATGAGAATTTGTTTCTCTGGAGTTTATCAACACGACTATAACATTCTGAGCTTATAACTGGAAATCAGATGTGAGTTTGGGAAGCCCACTGTAAAAATCCTTCCTTCAAAGCAGGGAATACATTTTTAACGCCTTGTCTAAGAGGGACTAACTGCCATCTGACATACGTGGTATAGTTAATGCTCCTCAAACATTCCTGTTTAAGCCTTCTCTGCTGTTCTGCAAGTCAGTATCTACCATGGTAAGACATTCTCACAAAAGGGTTTTGTCATCACCAAATTAAGGTAAACTGAAAACAAAAGGTTACACAAGAAAAGAAACCAAGCTTTTTCTAATGACCCCAAATGTACATTTATACTGTGGACCAAAAAAATACTTAGCAAATTGTGTTCAGCAGATCAATGACTGTAAACAGTGAGACATATTTATATTTGATAGCTGTGAATACGAGTCCAAAAACCCACTTTATTTTGTTATCCTGCATTTATCTTTCTTTAAGAGATCAAAATTATATAAAACAAGTTTTATTATTCAATCTCCCCTCACTATTGTACCCAAGCCCTATCAGTTTTGTTTCCTAAATCCTTCCCTCTCAAATTCACCTTCTCTTCTTGATCTCTGCTCCTATTGAATCATTTCAGGTTTTCATCATCTCTCTGGACTATTTTTCACAAGATAATTATTCTTTGTTTTATTATGAAATTTTTACTTGTTCATATTCAAAAATATTAAAATACAGAAAGGTAAAAAGCATAGAATTTATATCAAATGAAATGCTAATGCTCAGCAGCAGTCACTGTTTGGGAGAGAGAATAGGAAAGCCAGAAGTTAGGGAAATCACAGACCTTCCCCAGGCACAGAAGAATGAGGCAGGGTGGCTCGCGGTCATGATTCTGAGCTGCTTATTTGTCCCGTCCCTACCATAAAGGAGTGTTAAAGGACTTATTCTGGAATCTCTTGGCTTTTTTAAATTAAAATTTTAAAATTAAAAATAGCACCCAACTCAGAGTTAGTAGACTGAAGAAATAAACAAGGTGTTACTGCTAAAGAAAGCATTTTTAGTAGCTGAATGAAAACTGTTTTCCTCCGAAGCTTTTTCCTTTCCTAAAGGAAGTTAAGTTCAGGGTACTGGCAACAATCAGAGCCAGGACCTTGGAGCAAGTTCCTTGCTTTGTCTCTGCAGGGGTCTCTTCTGCCGCTTCTGACATCCAGGGCCATGAAACACAGAGAGGCGTCTAACGATGAGAGGAGGCTTTCATGAGCACTAGAGTGAAAGCCTCTTGAAGGCAGGGATTTGTCTAGTAGGTTTTGTTAAAATGCCATACTCCTGGGGCTTTTCCACAGTACACAGGAGGTACTCAGGAAGCTTTTCCCGAACTCATGAACAAATTAACGCACAAATAAACTGGGCTCTGTTTGGTTGAGATCTGCTCTCCCAGCTAGGGCTCTCCTACGAACATGCCATTTCACCATCTTCTTAATTAACAGCATGTGTCAAAAAGAAACTCCCACATCTCCTTAATCAGATACTTGACTGAAAAAGAAAATATATTAGCCACATATAATTTAAAATGCATTAAACTATAGACTTCTTTAATTAATATTAAATTAGTAGGTCTATATGATTCTTTCCCTAATCCCACAATTTGAGGTCCGTGAGTTTCTGTATCTAGTAAGTGCCAAAGACACAAATATCTAGCACAGCACTGTCCAATATGGTAACCACTAGCTAGCCACTTGTGGTTAATTAATTAAAATTAAAAGTTTAAAATTCAGTTCTTCAATTGCAAGAGCCAATTTCAAGAGCTTAACAGACTTATGTGCTAGTGGGCACCATAGTGGGTGACAAACATATAAAACACTTCTTTCATCACAGAAAGTACTGGACAGTATGTAGAGCTATTTTTTTTTTTTAAAGATTTTATTTATTTATTTGACAGAGAGAGCCACAGCAAGAGAGGGAACACAAGCAGGGGGAGTGGGAGAGGGAGAAGCAGGCTTCCAGCCGGGCAGGGAGCCCAATGAGGGGCTCAATGCGGGGCTCGATCCCAGGACCCTGAGATCATGACCTGAGCCGAAGGCAGACGCTTAACAACTGAGCCACCCAGGCGGTCCTACGTAGAGCTATTGATTCAACAGTTAGCCCTATGAGCAAGAGACTAGAAGGAAGGGTGAAGACAGAAATCATTGAATATTTAAACTTATTTAGTATATGCATGGAATATGTCTACAAGGGTACACATGAAAAAAATGGTAAAGTGAGTTTCTGGCAAATGTTAGTGGCTAAGGGGAAAGACAGAATAAGAAAAATTACTTTTCATTGTGTTCTCTTTTGTGCCTTTTGAATTTTATACCACATATAAATATTAGCTAGTCAGAAAAAAATTTTTTTTAAAGTATTTAGTCTTTGAAGTCTCTTCCTACATAAGAATAATTCAACACATATTGCCAAATTTTAAAAATCGAGTTTTGCTCTTTAACAAAGACTACTGTGTGGGCCGCCTGGGTGGCTCAGTCGGTTAAGCGTCTGCCTTCGGCTCAGGTCATGATCCCAGGGTCCTGGGATGGAGCCCCAGGTCAGGCTCCCTGCTTGGCGGGGAGCCTGCTTCTCTCTCTCCCCGCTGCTCGTGCTCTCTCTTGCTATCTCTCTCTCTCAAATAAATAAAATCTTAAAAAAAAAAGATTATTATGAAATTTTGAAAGAGGTTTCTTCTAACAGAAACTATTATTGAGTTGACTAACAAACCAGACACCAT